CATTACTCAAGTTATAAATGCCACACTCAAGCTACTTATGTCAGACGAATAAAACTCTCTTGACCTTCAGAAAAAAGGTTGAGTCACAGGGTACACCTGAAGAATCCAATGGAGAAATGAAAAGGCTCCATTTTAACTGCCTAAATTTGTATTTTTCAGGTATCTGCAGATCTAGGAGGTCTGTGGGAATGTTGGAAACACGTAATGAACAAGTTATTGTGGCTTGTTAACCCTTGAATACAAAAGCTAAACAATAATAATAGTAATTTAAAAAATCCCAAGTACTTATTTTGAAGTGGTTCTTTGGCCTCTTGTTCTACTCTTTTCTTGTCTCATCTCCCTTCATACTGTTCATTATTTCAACTGTTTTTACAGGTATTACCACTTGTAGAATTGCATTTGTAGAATTATGCATAATCTGGTATTAAAATACCTAAAATCACTCAATACATTCAAAGTGTGAGTCAGTTACACAATCTAAATACATTATTTCTTTACAAAACTTAGAAAACATAATGAATTGTGCTGCACTACAGTGAAGCTGTGGCTGATTAAAGGTCATAAAAATGCAGAGCAGTCTCCAACGATGCCCTGATGCTGTATGATTTGAAGGGAAAACTGTGATAAACAGCACTGGGGTAATTCAGTTTTCTAAGCATATCAAGAGTTTAAAGTTGAGTTCAGTCCTGAAACACAAGTGTCCGAGTTCCTCACAAAATCCAAGCTTGTGGTGATTCCTATTTATTATAATAAATTCAAATACTTGAAAAACACCCTTCTGTGAAACCTGCTGACCTCTTAACTCTGTGGCAACTTGTGACAAGTTTCACAAGCTAGTTTTGGTAAATAAAAAGGTTTTCCATCTAAAGGCTTTTCATCTAAAAATAGTTTTTAAACTGTTATCCATGAAACCATAATTCAAGACTGCAATCCCCTTAAATGCTCAAGATTTCAAAGACTCTCAATTAGCAATCTAAAATTCCTAAAAGAATAATCATGATCAAAAGATGGGGTATTCTGCTCTGATGTATTAATCACATGAGGAAATGAGTATTAGAACAGCCAAGAAGCTAAAAATTCAGTCCAAGAGGAAAAACTCAAACCTGTTCAGTGACTTTGCTACGTGTGGATCTGTTGTGCTGAACTGCTGCTACTCCTGTAAGATCTGTTGCGATGCCGTAATGCATCTGCACCAGATACAGTACTAGCAGAAAGTGGTTTGGCAGCACCAAGATCAACAGAGCTACAATGGAGTTACCAAAGACCTAGTGCACCAAAGGTCCAGCTCAGGAGGCCCACTACTTCGTAAGAGAACTATAATTTACTAACGATGATGTTATTTTTGCACAGAACACTTTTTTTTTTGCTATTTAATTTAGTTTAATGTAAGTAAATTTAACTCATCAATAGTAAGAACGCTCAAGCTTTATGTCAATTTGAATATACTAGCCCAGGAGGAAAGGCAGAGATCCTGCCATCTCACCATACCTGATTATATGCAGTAGCTGAGAAAATTAAATTGTTAAGATTTACAGACCTAAGTCAATGAAGCTGTGCTGTGAGACTGTCATGTTTTAATCCAGCAGGACACTGAAAACCACACAGCTGCTCACTCACCTTTCCACCCCTGCCCTGCGACATGGGGAGAGAATTGGAGTGGTGAGGGTAAGGAGACTTAAAGGTTGAGGTAAAAAACATTTAGTAATTGAAATAAAAGGAAATAATAATGATAATACTAAACAACAACAACAATAATAATAGTAATGATAGAATATACAAACAATGCACAATGCAATTGCTCACCACCCACCAACCATGTCCTAGCTCGTTCCTGGCTAGTGATCCCAGAGGAGGAGAGAGATCCCGAAATAGCAATCCTGGAAAAGCAAGAGCCCAGCTTTCCAGCCAGCCCTCATTTATATACAGAACATGACATGACATGATATGGAATATCCTATTGGGCAATTTGGGTCCATTGCTCTTTCTATGCTCCTATCCACCTTGTTCAAGTCCTTCTAGCTAGTTCCACACTAGCAAAACATAAGAAGTTGAAAAGTCCTTGATTTCTTAGCAACAACTAAAACATCAGTGTATTATCAACATTGTTTTCATACCTGTGGTGGTTTAACCACAGTAGGACCATGTGGTCCTGCACTCACCTCCCTCCCTCCCCCCCTCCGCCCCAGTAAGAGGGGACAGGAATCACAGCAAAGGGGCATGGATTAGGATGAAGGACAGGGACAGCTCACTCACCGGTTATGGTCATTGGCAAAACAGACTCAATTTGGGGAAGAAAAATCAATTTAATTTATTGCCATTCATTCCAGTAGCGCAG